GCTCTACCAAAAATCAACCATAGCTCATTCAGTCAATGAGCAGTCACTGCTCGATCAAACGATGTATATTGAGCTTTCAATTTACCAAAGTTCAATCATTACTTGCCCGGCCAATGAGCGATCAGAACTCGTTCAGGCGATGCGTAATGCGCATCCAATTTTTCAAAGTTCAGTCATCATCTGTTTCGGGCAATGAACAGTCAATACACGATCGGGCAAAGCCCGACTCAAACTTGCTGTGTACGTAAACAGGGAATAGCGAGTTCAACCACTGAGCTGGGAGATAACACGAACCAAGCTCAATACTCCATCGCCTTCACTCTCTCTCTCTCTCTCACTCACAGCCGTGGACTGCTCGTTCTGGACTCGATAGTACCCGTTCGCTTGGAACTGCTGATCACTCAGACGAATTTAAGAGGGCTCATTTCAGGGATAATTATGGTGTGCTCTGCGCCCAAGGGCGGCGCGCTCATTTGACTGAGCTCATCTTTCACACTTGTCTGGGCACAAACCAGGAGCAGTTCACCAGGCGAGTCTTAGAGTGTCATTCAGCCAGCGAAGGGAGAAGATGACAGGAAAAAAAAGAGAAATAAATAATTAAAAAAAGAAAAAGAGGGATGGCAGAGGTTTTGTATTTGAAGACAGACAAAAACCTGAAGAGGCTTCCCTCTTACCAACATACGCTGACTCTCTTCCTTTCGGCAAGTGAATCAGACAGGGTCTCAGAGCTCCCTTTTTCTGTCATGTACGAACTACTTGTTACCAAGTCTAGTCATCCGATCGATCAGGCAGCCCTTCACAGGTTGATTCGTTTGATGCAAAGTATCTCTCGCCAGGAAAGAGCTGAGTCCACTGGCGGATCAGATTATTCAACTATCCCCTTCTCGTGCCCGTTTTCATTACCCCTGACAGTGTGTTGCTCCAACCAACCATCAATTGAGACAACGCAATCAGCTGTTCGGTAGGTGCAGAAGTTGTGCCTCACTCCCGACTTGTCAGACTAATCTTCAGCTAGAACAAGGAAAAGTGCACCGTCTCCCACTGGTCGATTCGTGAATGCAAGCAGTATTCGATTGGCTTTAGTTCGCTGTCACGTACCCCCACTTCACTCTTGCAAAGACTTCTTGATGGTCGCGCATACACCCTCTCATGATCACTGAGTTCTTACGTCCGTCGCTTTGGCACAAGCGCGCTTGCTTTCGACACCGTTACCCACTCACTCTTGCGAACAGGTACAGTGAGAATCTTCCCCTTCCTCAAGGTCCACTATCCAGTCTGATCGCCGTCAATCATGGTCTTCCTGATCTGTCCACGGACTTAGGTGTTACTCTGCTGGATGAACCTCTCCTCACCTAGTATGCAGTAGCTTGAGCTACCTTCACCAATCAACGAGACACTTCGCGCGTCAGGCTCGTCTTTGAATCTGCAGTGCTCTCTCCCCCGTCGCTCGTTTTGCCAGCAGGTCACCTGCTGTTCAGCGTTCCCTGTGGGAGGCGGTGCCAAGAGGGAGGCGTGCAGAGTACACGAGCCACACCTATCTACCCGTCCCTCAATCGATCTCTTCACGAGCACCCTTAGTTACTCCTCTGTCCCCGTTCCAACACAGTGCACATCTCGTACATGACACTCCCTGATCCCCTTTTGTCTGTATGTTTCTCTTCGCTCCTCCCTGCACAGTCTTAGCACGGGATCATGGAGATTAATAGAATCGAGTGCCCTCAGAGCCTGGAGTACGCCAGGCGCACAACTCTTTCTGCCCTGTTTGAATGACACCTCTCTGTAGCGTACACCAGGCATACTCTCTGGGTACTACTTACTGTCCAGTACTCTTCTCCCCTCCATGTCATACGCTCGGAAGCTGCGGATGCCCTGCGCACCATCTCCCTTTTACGCCATATCCTCCTTACAGCCGTAATCAGTGAAATCTTCCTCACATCCTCGAACAGGGACCTCTCAGGCCTGACCGAGGTCTTTGCGTGAGCGGGGTACGCCAGGCACACTCTCTCCTCCTCTCCATTCCGAGTGTGTCCCCCACTGCGCATGCCTGGTGCACTTTTCCCCCTGGCTGATTTGAGCTGTGGGCGGTGTACGCCAGACACGTCTCTCACTCTTGCCCCAGTCTGAATGACCCCCTTCCTCTTCTGGTACCCAGTGCTGTATCCTGTCTTCACTTTTGGCCCAGCCTCTAAACTCAAGGCTCTTATTGTCGCTTGGCAGAACTCGAAGGAAAGTGCTGGTACTTTTGGTACCAGGTCTTCTGAACATGCGCACTTGTCGTGCGCAGCAGCACTCGGTTGGTACCGAGTGCTCAAACCAGTAGCTCTTAATTCAGGGCCAGGAGAATCAAGGCAGGAGTTATTAGTAGTAGAGTGAGTTGCCCCTGTTCCTTAAGTCACACCAAGCGCTGTACCATGGAGTATCAGCGTCTATTGGACTAGTCCAGTCCCGAGTCAACAACCGTACCTGTAATGTGCCGAACTGTCGTAGGCTTTATCAAAACGATGCCATCAAACCGTGACCCGCAGCAGTCCCATACCAGATCCGACACCGTACCAAATTAATAGGATCCGACCGTAGCACCATGCCAGTGCCGAATCAGTGACCATACCAGAAATAGCAGTCACGAACAGCAGTGGCCTGTACCGTTGCCGGCCACATGAAAAAAAGGTGTACCATACCAGTTCCGGATCAGTATCCGGACCAGAAGTAATTGCGGCAAACCGCAAAGCCGTAGTCACAGAGCCATAGTCGCGTCGAACCAGTGGCCGTACCAATCACGTCAACATTGAACGTAGGATCCCGTACCAACATAGTAGTGTCGAATTTGCGGTAGACCGTATCAAAATTTGTGCCACCAAACCTGAGTGAGCTGCCACAGTTCTGGATCATAATAAATACCGAACCAAACAACACATGTGCCTTACCAGTACTGGTCCAGTGATCACAGAGCCATAATCAAGCTGCCGTGGAGACAATTTCACATCAATTTTGTAGCGTAGGGCTGGAGTGAGCTGAGGCTCGAACCGTCCTGCAGTACCTTACCAAAGTCACCGAATGTCGTACCAACGCACCATGCCAGTATCCATACCATATTAGGGGTATCACGTCGCGGTGAGCTGCCCCAATACTGAGCCATTGTCTGGGACAAAATTTGATAGTCTCAGATTACCGTGAGCTTCACCAATAAGGCCAAAAGACCGCACCTATCCTGGACCGGACCAACTATCCACCGTAGCCAGGGCAGCGCAACAAGAATACACAGTCCGTTGGTCCGTCTGCCGATGTAACCAATGCCTGTGGTGGTGTTAACGCTAGGTAATCACATGCCCCCTGGAATCCCGTACAACACTCAGCACGCCATGAGAATTCAGCACGATACGGTTCGCGCACACTCAATAATACCTCGGGTTTATAACAAGGGTAATAATCAGGTAAAATCAAAGAAATACAGCGAGGAATTATAAATAGAGAAAATCCTTTTAAATCAAAGAAGAGGAATAAATAGATAATCTTTGGCTAAAATTTATCGAGAACAGAATCCGATAAATTTTGTTAAATAATAAAATAATCATTTGTTTCCATTCCCTTGTTATCATTTTTAAAAATTTAATTTTTTGTACTTATCTTTAATTCCACCATTAAATTAAATAAAATTTCAGGCCTCTCCCCTCGTCAACTGGGCGGCGTGGAGAATGTCGTGCGAAGGCTTGCAAACATACCTTCGCCCCACGGCTAGCTGATTCAAGGATAGCCTCAGAGCAGACGAAAAGACGTAAGGCCTGGGTACGGTAGAGGTGGTTGTTCACCTTATTAAAGTTAAGGGTTAGTTCCTGCGGTTGACGCAGGGGTTTTCAAAGTTCCTCTGAGGACCCCTAATTTTCCCTGACAGTTCTGATGAGAATACCCGATGAATCCTAGCCGGGCGTTCGATTGACAGTCCAATTCCTATTAATTCGGGTGGCCGACCGGTCTGCGGCCGCCCGACAACACTACTGGCAGGGTAGTAGAAACGCGTTGAGGGATGGCCGCATTGGTTTGAGGATTGGTATGGCGGGAAGAGTCTGTGGTATTCTGGCATATTCTATTTGACTCTTTGGGTTGGAATTGAGCCCTTCTGCTTCATGCATTTTTTTCTGGCTAATTATCCCCTTGTGTTTTTGTCTTAGTTTGATTTGCATGCATCCGGGATTGGTTTTATTGGTGAATTTGTCTATCTTGGCTCATGCGAGAGACTGTTTGCCGACAGTTCCTCATCAACTAAAATTGCCGTTTCAAACTTGCTCAGTGATATCTTTGTCGGCCATGTTTTTTTTGCCTTTGCAAACTCGAAACCTGATGTGTCCATTTTGTTTCAAAAAAAAAACATAGTAGGTGACCATAGGTCCCAGTTATCGAGGTTTGGAAACTGGCCCCCCTACTCAAACCACCAGAACATTTTGAAGCCATTTTGCAGAAACCCACTCTGCATGTAAGCGTGTCGGGTGGGATGTACGGTTTCGCCCAAAATCCATGCAGGGAAAATGGGTAGCATGCGAGACCTGATTTGCCTGGATGGAGTTCGGGCGAAATGGCACCCCGGTACATCGTGCCCGACACGCTTGCATGCATGACACATTTCTCAAAAATGGCTGGGAAATGTCCTGGTGGTTTAAACTGCCAGTGCATGGCCTCAACCTTGCAGAAAATGAAATCGTCCCCACCACCGCCATGCGCCCCATCCAGCATACAGCAGCGCAGCTCGGCTATGGCTGCCTGCTCCTTCCAGGTCGCCCGTGAGCGCGTGAGCCTGGCAGGTGATAGCGCAGCAGCGCTTGCGCACAAAGCAGCCAGTGCCCAAATCCCCAATGCGTAGGCAGGCCCTTCCCTATATCGAAGTGGCCTGCTGCGGCGTGCTGTGCTGCGGTACTGGGCCTCGGCCCAGAAGCTTCCGGTAGGCCCAGGGAGGCTGAGCCTCAATCCGAAGTCAATAGGCCTAGGGCCTGTGGTGGTTACCAGCACCCAACTGCCCTCAGCCTTTGTTCGGTCCACTTTGTGTATCTGGCCCAGGGCCTGCCTCAGTTACATGCAATGCGAGGCAGCCTGGGTCTGGGCGCTTCCAACCAACTGGCGCTGCGCAACTGCCTGGAATTTCCCCAGTTGCGCAGTGACCCCAAAAATGGCCTGAGGGCCTTGGTCGTGCCTGCCTTCAGTTAGGGCGGCCGACTGAGCGAAAAATAGGCCCTGTAAAGCAAATTGAGGGCCTGTGCCTCACATTCCCTCCTCCATACTTCGATAGTCCTCTGAGAAGTTCAGTCTTCAATGATCTGGCGCTTTCCCTTCTGCAGAGACTTCTCATATTGGGTGACAACCTGAGGAGCGGTCTGCATCAGTTCCTCCCTAGTGAACCACCGATCCTCCTTTGGATCCGTGTGATGTCTGAATCGAACTCTGTACTGCAGCGTCGGTTTCGGAGGACGTCCTCTGCTGGTTGGTCTTGGAACTGGCATCTCGCTGTGATCAAAGATGTCGTCGATGTCAACCTCTCCATCCATGGTTGGGGGCAGCATAGAGCGACGAGAGGGAAACTGATCAGTCTCTCCGAATGGTGCAAGCTTAGAGGTGTGAAAGACAGGGTAAGTACGTAAGTGATCAGGGATGCGAATAACATAAGACGGCCCATCATGTTCATCCCCAACAACATCTAGGATCTCCCATGGTCCAAAGTACTGCGGCATGAGCTTCCGGGAGATCCCGTTCTCCTCTCCCAGTTTTGAGGACGTGACCCAGACTCTCTCTCCTACCTGAAATGTGGATGGGCGGCGGTGTTTGTTCTCAGACTCTATCATCGCCGCCTGTGCCTTGTGCATCTGTTCAACAGCCTGCTGCATCAGCTGCTCATATCGATAAGCAAACTCTAAGGTCCCTGGTGCAGCAGAGGGTTGGTTCTCAGGTAGTAAGAAATCCAAGGGCAGTCTAGGCTTAAAGGTTGATAGCAGATTATTCGGGCTCACGCCCGTTGCGCTGTGCACCGCGTTGTTGTACAGGCTGGCAATGAGAGCAAGTTTCTCATCCCAGTCTACCTGATTTGGCTTGATGTAATGCCTCAGCAGGTGTTGTACAACGTGGTTCAACTGTTTTGCTTGTCCATTCACCTCGGGATGGTTTCCTGATGTCATCCGCAGCTGAGTTCCCTGTTCTGCAGCTACGGCTTTCCACAGTTAACTTGTGAATCGCACATCACGGTCACTGACTACAAATTTTGGCAGTCCAAAATCTCTAACCCAGTTCTCTTTGAACAACTTAATTACGTATTCGGTCTTAGCTGTTGCAATTGCGACTAATCTAGCGTACTTACTAAATCTATCCACGATGACGTAGACGTACCGCATACCACTCTTGCTGGTGACCAGCGTATCCATGAAGTCCATGGACAAGCTTTCGCCAGGCCTTTCCAGAATCGGAAGGGGATTCAAAAGACCAAGAGGAGCCTGTGTACGTGGCTCCCTCTGATAGACCTGACAAGTTTCCACGTACAACTTCGCGTCTCTCATCATCGTGGGCCACCAGAACCGCCGCAACAAATTGGTTGCAGTCTTCTTGAAACCAAAATGTTCGGTGGCATCATGACACTCACCTAAAAACAAACTATGCAAAGACTCCCTATTGGGAACACACAAACGTTTATTCCCGGCCTTCTCAAGGAACAGCAGACCATTAACCAACTCAAACTCGGCAGAAGTAATTTTGTCATTCGCCTCGAGTCTGCGAATGATCTCGGACATAAACTGATCCTCGCAGTAGGCTTCCACCAGAGAGTGAGTAACATCGTCCGCAAGCCCAAACTCAGTGATCAGTGCACCAGAGAAATCTGGTCTACGCGACAGCGCGTCAACAACCTTGTTGTACTCGCCCTTGATGTATTGGGGCTCAAAGTCATACTGCTCTATGACTTCAATCCAACACTTCAGAGCGTCGGAGAACACAGGGTGGGTTCTCATCCACTTTAGGGTCTGATAATTAGTCCTGACGTAGAAGAACCTCCCAAGGAGATAGTGCCTCCAATGGGTGAGCGCCTTGTAGATCGCATAGAGCTCCTTCTCATAGGTGGACTTAGCCAACTTCTGAGAGGGCATCTTATTGGACATGTACTCTACTGGCCTCAACTTCTTCCCCTCCTGCTGCGCAAGTACGGCGCCTATGCCATATTGGCTGGCATCCGTAGTTACTACAAAAGGTTTGTCAGGATCAAGAAGTTTCAAGACCTCATGGTGTGTCAACGCATGCTTCAGATATCTGAAAGCAGCCTCACACCTGTCTGTCCACTCCCATGGGGTGTCAAGGCGAGTCAGGTCCATCAAAGGGGCGGCCGCTATGCTGTAATTCTGAACAAAATTGCGGTAGTAGCCTGTCATCCCTAAGAAGGACCTCATCTCAGTCACAGACTGAGGACGCGGCCAATCACAAATGTTGGCCACCTTCGCGTCATCGGGCTTCAAACCCTCCGCGGAAATCTCATGACCCAAGTACAAGATATGGGTGCAGCCAAATTCACACTTCTCCCCGTTTATCTTGAACTTGTGCTGCCAAAGGAGACTGAGGATTTTGTCTAAGTGCGCTACATGCTCCTCGACAGTCCTACTAAAAATAAGTATGTCATCGAGGTACACGATGACAAACTTATCCAAGTAGTCATGAAATATATGATTCATAACGTGCTGAAAGGTGCCAGGAGCATTGCACAGGCAGAAAGGCATCACCACAAACTTGTACAGACCGTACCTGGTCTGAGATGCGGTATTGTGTTGATCCTCGGGCCGGATTGCAATCTGATGGTACCCGGACTTCAAATCTATCTTACCGAAGTACTGACACCCTTGCACTCTATCTAGCAAGTTGTCGATGCGCGGTAGGGGCTCTCTGTTCTTGACAGTGATGGCATTGAGGCCCCTATAGTCAATGCACATCCTAAGTGTTCCTTCCTTCATTGGTACGAATAGGACTGGAGACCCATAAGGAGAAACACTCGGTCGAATCCAACCCTTCCCTACGAGTTCCTTGAGTTGTTGGCGAAGCTCATCAAGCTCGCCTGGAGACATCCTATAGATCCTACCCTTCGGAATACTAGACCCTGAAATAATCTCTATTGCATGGACAACTTCCCTCTCAACAACCCCTGTAGGCTCTTCAAATAGATCAGGGTACTTGGCAACTACTCCCTCTATCTCCGGCGACATTTTCACCGGCTCGCCTGCTGCAGAGACATAGACTAGATACATAGCCTCCTCCGGATTTTGCTTATAATAATTATAGAACTCGACCGCACACATGCATCCGTGGGACTCGATCAGACTACCAGCTTTGAACTTACGTAATCTGGCGGTCCCCCCACCTGGCAAAGTGTGTTTGACCACTTTTCGGTCCCAGTCAAACTAGGGATGTGCCACGGAGAGGTAGTACATACCTAACAAGATATCCATAGGGAGATCATCGCTCACTAAGAACGAGACGCGATGTCGCAATTCCCCTCCCACGTACGGGAAACAACACTCAACATCCTAGAGGTAGTCGTTGACTACCGTGCACTGTTTGTTGGCACAAGTCGAGTCCACAAGCCAACTCAGGCGCTGCACTTGCCCTTGTAAGCGCAACCTCTCAACGCACGTGCGACTGATGAAGTTCCTAGTCGAGCAAGTGTCATAATAGGCCCCGGCCTTGCGGCCGCTGATGACTACCTCGTCGACGAACATCTCTCCCTTAGGGGCTTTGGCCAATGTCGTCCAAGAAGCCAATGGGTCTGATCTAGACCACTCCTCCTCTAGCTCCTCTAAGGATTCAAACACATTCATCGAACAGAGGCTCAATGGGTCAGAATGTGTTTGCAGGACGACGATGGAGTCAGTAGCTTGGGCCATCTCTCGAGATGGTGAGGGTGTGTCCACCACCTCGACCCTAGCAGGAACAACTACCATTCCTACTGACCCGACGCGTTTCCCGGAGCAGTGCCAGAACTGTTGGCCACATTGCTACCAACGGGAGCGGAGGATCCCAACGCCTGCCCCATCGTAGGCAGCATCTTCTCGGACACCTTTCTGTTACGGCACTTGAATTGGTTATGGCCATATTGGCCACAACGAATACAAGCTTGCTGGGTGTACCGGTCTCTCCACACGTCCTCACTAAGACCCGCTTTCTCCCATGGAGGAGCATTGGGGTCAACTTGACTCCTAGACCGGGAACCTCCACGGCGTCTACCGGTCGTCTTACCTTTCTGGGCTACGGCAGCGACTACTCCACCCCCTGAAGCTTCTACGCTGCCCGCCTCTGAACCTGCTCCCGCCTGGAACTCGTCGTCCAACTCGATGGTAGAACTATCGTTGTCGACGAACATAATGCGTCCCTTCGCTTTCTAGTTGGGAGGAAGTGTCTTTTTCCTACCATCCGTCGTGGGGTGTCTGACCATGCCCTATCTTTGCTTCCAGGTCTAGGGCCTTCTTGCTAAGCGACGGGAAGTTGTGCATGTTGATGTTAGCCTCACCTGCCAACTGATTCCTTAGAGGCATAGGGAAGCATCTCAGGTAGGAGGTGAGTAAAACTTGGGTGTCATAGCGAACCCTAGGGACACAGATCAGATGCTTTACAACGTCAGTGGCCTCTCTCACTGACTTAAACTGCCTCGTGTGCAGTGTCAGGATTGCGTCAGTAGCCTTTTGGGCCTCCTGCGGATCATGCCACCTGTCTTCCACCAACTTGAGGAAGTCATCCAATTTCTGGGTGACTGCCCAAGCGCGTAAGTAATGACCGTACCTCTGGAGCTGCACTAAACCACTCAACCATCGTGCTACACTCCCCTCTAAATAAGAGGCAGCCACAAGCACTTCCTCATGTGGCAAGGTAAGTTTGCACTTGACGTAGACCGACACTGCCCTCAACCAAGTGTCGAGGTTTTTGCCCCTCTTATCCCCTGTAAAAGGGTTTAGAAGTGGCGATGGCCGTCTTTGAAACCCACTGATTTTGTCCCGGTACCTGCACCATTCCGGACTGTGGACCCTGTGGTGCAGGCTGCTGCACTATCTGTTGGGGCTGTGAACCCTGCGGCCGTGCAGACTGCGAGACAGCAGGCTGCCCGCTTACGGTAACCTGAGACAGAGGTTGGGATAACACTGTCTGTACAGGGACCTGCAAAGTAGGATCTGCTGAGAACCCGCCTGTTAAAGGCATAGCCAGGGAGACAGGTTGAACCGATGCTGGAGCGGTACATGGGGATACCCCAGTCACCGGTGGGACAAAAGGAGGAGGATGTACAACGGGCCAGACACCAGGCCCGGACAGCGATGGTGCCGCCTGCGCTCGCCCGACCAACACGGCCAGACTCTGCTGGATGTCTTCTAAGACCGCCGTCAGTTGATCTTGCATCTCTACTACTCCTAGCAAGACCGACCTCAGGGCTCTCACTTCATCATCCAACTCCGCTGGGTCCATCTTCTCTAACTCACTAATGTCCGCTTGTCGCCGCTGCAACCTGGCTCTTCTTCTTATCATTCTTTCTTTTTCGGCCTTAATCTCTCCTAAAGCCTTCTGTAGTTGTGCCTCGCGATCAGCAGCTCGCTGTATGGTAACCTCCTCGGAAGTCAACACTAATGGCTGGCTTGCCATTACGCCAGTGGACTGACTCATGGTCTACGCGATCATTGACCCTACGGTCCCTGAACTGCTAGCCTGGGAACTCTGCTCGGAGAAGTTGCCATGGTTACGGAAGTTGTGGCTTCGCTTGCGAGTGCCCTGCTGGCCTCTGCTGCCCTAGCTCTCCTCTGTTGCTGCTGCCTCTCCCTAAGCTAGCGGAACAAAAATTTGTCACCCTCTCGCCCTAAGGCCAAGTGGGCTATCGGGCGTCTAGCCGATCGCAAGATCTGGTCGTCCTCACTAGTGGTGTCCCTATCGCTCATAAGCTACAGAACTGTACACAATCTGCACTAAGACACTCTTTGATGCTTACCCCAGCGTAGTGCACAGACCAACTTATAATTAACTAATTAATCGGTGGCTGCGTCAGAGAGTATATACATTTGGGTCCAACAGGTAAGTTCAGGTTCCTACAAACGAGACTATTTTGACTTTGACTAGTTCGCAAACAAAAGCACAATGAACAAAGAACAGTTCTAAACTATGTTGTCTATCAGATGTCAATGGCTGTACATCTAACTAATCAAAGATAAAAATAGAATCGCTTGTTGGGTCTGTTTGCAGAATGGAATCTTGCCCAAACTTATCACCTGGAATCTACCCCTCCCTCAGTTCTTCCTGAATGTCTCTTGTCGTCAACGTCCCTGAGCCATCCGGACAGCGTCCGTGTCTTAAGGTGTGCACACGGCCCACCCCTGTGCCCCGAGTCTTGCTGAGCTGGCCAGCTCTGCACAGTCTTTATCCTCCCGTGCAGCGAGCCTTACACCGACCAATTGGCTGTTCAGGAGACGTTTTTATGGACGGCCCCCGAAGTCCTCAGGAATTCTTTAATGTCGCAAACAGGACGACGATCACAGCCAATGGAAGGTATCCCAGCGATGCTCATTTATAGACGCCCGGTCGCGTCTGTCCCATAGGGCTGGCCTGCCCTTCACAACCCCTCTATAGCGCAGCGAGCAGACAAAGGACAAAGCAGCAAAGCATGCGTGCTCTACTCCCAGTGGGTTGGCATGGTGACTGTGACCCAGTGCTTCATCCAGGGCCCTTCAGATAGCTCCGCCCTCTCCTTCTAGATGCTCCACATGAAGGCTGACGACTCTCAAGGTTGAGCGCACACGACTCCTCACATGAGAGGACTCTCAAGACAGAACACACATCCTCACGGTAAGAAGTGTCGAAGAGGGTAGATAAGGTTAGGTGCAACGTACCTCAAAATAGCTGCCCCCAACCACAGATATTCTCACCAGATGACTCGATGTTGATTGTGACGACCAATCGTTGCACTTCGGTACAACCAGCATTGCACAACCGTTCCACCTTAGCATCAATCACACACCGGATAGTTCTCATCACACTGCGAACACCCAATAATCACCACACAGCCTTCCTGGCGAACCCCTCTCCACCTGGGTCGCCTACTTATCTTCGCCCTCCTCACTACACACGTCCCACGGCACGGTCGCTCACCGTACACACCGCGTGCATGTACCGCATTAGGCAGAAGATAAGCGCCAGATTAGTGCACTGAACCACAGCTCTGATACCAAATTGCAAGGAAGATGGGCAATAGCGAACTTCAGCAATCAAACAGCATCATACACATCAGACCAGATAGTCATGACCTCGAACCAAAAGCAGAATTGCATCACGAGTTTCACCAAATAAGAGCACACCAAAAGCTCATAATTGACAATGCTGAAATCATCTCATCATCATCAACAAAGAACCAATGTTGATATCCTATCTGGTGCTCGGCGCCCAGACTACGAATGGCAGATCCTATCTAGCCTAGACTACAATGCCGCTGATGACATCAACAGCTTCCCAAGTACGAGCAGACCTCGGCCAATGCCGCACGCATCAAGCACCAGGTATGTCTCTCGTATCACTCACAACCTCGTTTCCCAACTCACAGATGCCACTTGCACCCAAGGACCACCATGCGCCCCATCCAGCATACAGCAGTGCAGCTTGGCTATGGCTGCCTGCTCCTTCCAGCTCGCCCGTGAGCGCGTGAGCCTGGCAGGCGATAGGGCAGCAGCGCTTGCGCACAAAGCAGCCAGTGCCCAAATCCCCAATGTGTAGGCAGGCCCTTCCCTATATCGAAGTGGCCTGCTGCTGCGTGCTGTGCTGCGGTACTGGGCCCCGGCCCAGAAGCTTCCGGTAGGCCCAGGGAGGCTGAGCCTCAATCCGAAGTCANGAAGTGGCCTGCTGCTGCGTGCTGTGCTGCGGTACTGGGCCCCGGCCCAGAAGCTTCCGGTAGGCCCAGGGAGGCTGAGCCTCAATCCGAAGTCAATAGGCCTAGGGCCTGTGGTGGTTACCAGCACCCAACTACCCTCAGCCTTTGTTTGGTCCACTTTGTGTATCCGGCCCAGGGCCTGCCTCAGTTACATGCAATGCGAGGCAGCCTGGGTCAGGGCGCTTCCAACCAACTGGCGCTGCGCAACTGCCTGAAATTTCCCCTGTTGCGTAGTGACCCCAAAAATGGCCTGAAGGCCTCGGTCGTGCCTGCCTTCACTTAGGGCGGCCGACTGAGCGAAAAATAGGCCCTGTAAAGCAAATCGAGGGCCTGTGCCTCGCAATATGTGAACCACCCGGCGAAAACATGTATAGCAGCCTGCAAACATCGCAGTAATGACTGACTCCAACAAAGGACTGTTGAAATGGACTTGCGAACTCGTCTAGAAGAATGGGAGATAACTTCAGATAGACAGTAACGGTGCTACCAACCTTTACACTTTTTTCACACCCCGCTGCTGGGGATTCTTGTACAGCATTAAACCACCA